AAGGACAGCAGAATTTAATGGCACCAGAAAATTTCGCGACGGCTTCTCGACTGCAGCCTGTCGTTGCATAACACAAATAACAAGTAAGAATGGTACAGAGGTTTGAATTTCGACAGAGAAAATCAATATAAAACAGCAAGGTCAACTTATACTGCGCGTAGACTAAGCAATAAATGATAACTTCAAAATGCAACAGAGGAATGAGAAGAGGGAAGTAAACATGCTGAGGGATTTCGAAAATCAAAAGGGCTCAGGTCTACCAGGGCAAGCTGGGGTTGACCACGTGGTCTAATTGTTTACATAGGTCGGGTTTCTCCTGTCGTATATAGGCTGCCTACAAATATAAGACCGATATACATTATTTGGTTGTTTAAAACGCAGTGCACTGTATTGCACCTTAGAGCTGCGAAAATTTCCATTGTAAAATTCAAAAGGCAATTTGGCGAGCATACGCCTGCTTTCGATAAATTTCTCTTTAGGCCTGTGCATTCGTATGACTATTGAAGTAATGAATTAAAAGATACGGGTAAGTAGCTAATTAAGCTGTAGCTGGGGTTTGGAGAGGGGAGGGGGAGAGTGAAACACCACAAATCCAGTCAGCGCCAAGGAGAAGATGGGTCCCAGCGAAGGTAATTATCGCGTGTAATTACCTGCGCCAGGACCCACCTTTTCCCTGGCGTTGACTGGACTTGTAGTGTTTCATTCTCCCCCTCCCCTTCCCTCCCCTCTCCCAACCCGAGCTACAGCTTAATTAGCTACTTACCCTTATCTTTTAATTCATTATTTCAATAGCCATGTAAATGAACAGGCCTGAGGAAAATTTATCGAAAGCAGACGTATGCTCACCAAACTGACTTTTGCATTACATTTATGTGAGCCTCTGCATTCCTAGAACCACATACTTGGAAAAAGGGCACTGATTTCTTAAGTTACTCTGTTGGCTGCCGATGGGTCTCTAGATAAATCACCGAAGAAAAAGGAGATGAGGGTGTCCCGTACCGCGATCGCTGATCGCCCTTCTACCATATTCAATATGCCCGATGAAAAATTGACCGGACAATGAGTTTGTAGCTCTGTGGTTAAGACGCCGGACTAATAACCAAATGAGCGTGGGTTCAGGCCCCAGGTGCCCCCAAAAATTGGAGTTGTTAAAGGCTATCTGACGAAGGCTAATAGGTCAGAAACGAGCAACTCTGTCTTCCGTGCCATTGTCTTAACCACATTATGCGTATGCATATATATATATATTCGGCAAGTGTCAACCGAACTCAGTATTTCGACGTAAACTTCGTGATTACAAATCTAACCAGAGCCGTCATCTACAGCAACTGCCGCGACCATTTCACCAGTTTATCAGTTCCCAGCAGAGTTAAAGACAAACAGCGAAGTTGTCTTATAATCCAACTCATTAAAAGAGACACACAGGCATCGAAATGATGCCAAAAATCAACCCAAAGGTCAACCAAATCTACATAATCATCCTCTACATCATAAGAGCCCCCAAGGCAGTTACTTGACTGTTCAAACATGTTGGGTGCGGCGTGGCTCACGCAAACCAAGCCGCATTCTGCGACTGTTTGACGCGACCTATGGACTCTATATTTTCTTGACCGAGGTCTGCATTAATATACAAAATAAACTGTATGGAAGGGAACTTTAGTTGTGCAGAGTTGGCTAAGTAAAGGCTGTAATTCTAGATCTACAAGCATTAGCCTACGACAGTGCACATTGGTCCGAGCCTATCAGACAAGCGTTGGGTTTAAAGTGTACAGATATTCTTGGTTAGAGCATTTCCAAGGTTAAACCTGGTCTTTCTAGATGGGGTTGCGATATTCCGTAAGTCTTCTACATGGGTAATGCGCGGTGACTTAATTATTTACCTTGCCTTAATCAACAGTATCCTAAGGATAACACAGTCATTCAAATTACGTGAGCTACGTTCTTGTATTAAAATAACGCAAGAATATGTGGTATTACGAAGGTATACAAACGAAACGGTTACAGGCAGCTGGGAAAGTGCTAGATGAACATGGTGGCATAGTATAACATAAGGTAGTTCATATGGCGGCAATCGTGCAAAAATGTCTTTTTATACTCAAATAATTGTTGCGTTTTAAAGAACTGCATCTATGCCCCACAGATAGGAATGAAATTGGCTTGAATAATGTATCATCTGCACCAAAATTAAGACTATTTTTAGCTAAGGAGTACAAAAGACTAATAGATTTAGCAACGGGGGGTTTACTTATTTTTTATTTTTGCTATATATATGCATGTCGCAGGCCTTTACACTTGTCGCCAAAGGCATCATTAATGTGGTGCCATTTAAAAGCATAAGTGCAAGGTTTTTAGAGATACTGGGCTTTATTTACTAAAGGGCGCCGTAGGCAATTATATTCCGTAGGTTTCCGGCGTTTTTATACCCTAACGGTGCGCATTGAGCGTTATTATATAGCAGATAGCAATATCTTCATAAAAGAATGGCGTGTTATTGGGATGGCGGGATGATAAGTTAAACTGCCACTTCAAAATACCGTATAAATTACGTTTCCTTTTTTGGCGAATTTTGTCGAATACACAAGGTTTGTCTCCTGTTTTTCAAGTCAGGTCAGACCTGTGAGAAAAGTTTGCTCAGTTTCACTATGACAAATGAATTCTATAATCGACCCAATGGGCGGTCTTTTAGTAGAATTGCAGTTTAGACAGGCTTTATGAACAAGAAGCTTGGGTGAGGTAAACTAGGCGACTTCTGATGATAACGGTTTGTCCATGGTTTACACAGAGAGAACCAGCAGCTGACTAACTATTTGTCCCATTGACGGATATGCCGTTTTGAGCACCGGAAGCGCCTAGTGCCTGAACATGTGGCAGAAAATGTGTGTACAGTGACTGTTCGTCTGATGGCGATGTGAACCTAAGTAACACATTTCGACCGCCGCGAGCGACGACGCCCACCGCGTACCACTCGTAACGGATGTAGTGCTGACGACTTGCGCTTGAGGACCATCCTTCGAGTGAAGTTCACCATTTTCGTCTTAAATGAGACAGT